TTACGAAGAGTCTGGTCCTAGGCATTATTCCATCTAGTAAAGGAAAAGCTGTGGCCGTAGCGTGCCATGTACCTGTGTGCAGCCGAGGGGCTCATCGCCACCCTGGGCTGGAAGCACTCCCTGCCCTGTCCCCAGAGGAAATCAAGGGGCTTTAGGGTGCACCTCGCTCTGAGCAGTAACCCGCTCCCCTGACCACAGGCACCTTCCTCTCCCCCAGGACCACCCCAGTGGGCTGCAGCCTTGTCCCTCCACCCGCCCACGGCAGAGTGGCTGTGGGGGCTGCGTGCCCTTTCCCCAGTGGGGAAAGCCGGCAGGGTGAAGGGGAGCTGTGGCCCAGGCTTCCCATGCTGGGGCGGGTTTCCTGCCGTAGGGCCCGTGGCGGGGGCAGGCTGGGGGCCGAGAGCTGCGTGAGCTGGGACTGCTGGTGTGGGACTGCACTGCCACAGTGCTCGGAGGGCAGGCAGCGGGGAAACATGGCTGCAGCCCTGCGCTGCCTGCCAGCCCTGACCAGTGGCCTGAGGGCTCGGGGCTCCAGGCTGCTGGTCCTTGTGTATTTTTCTGGGGGATCTTGGCAAAACAGTAGCCTGGGTGCTGATGCTTACCTTGTTGCAGAATATGCAGGCTGTTGAGCTCTCAGCTGTCTAACAATCAAGAAAGGGATAGAAATCAAGAAAATTAAACTGGGACTGCTCGTCCTTGGGCAGTTCCTCTTTGCTGGGAAGACCCTGTCTGAATCACCTGCTCTCTTCACCCAACCTTGTTTCTTGCCCACACCTCATCTCTCTTCATTTTTTCTGACCTCAGACTCTTGCCCATCTTCCTTTCTCACCCATATCCGTCTTTGCTTCCTCTGCATTTGAACTGGGTGGTACTTTATTCTGTGCTGATGGAGTGAAAATCCCAGGAATCCTGAAACCAGAGGAGAGCTAACCTACCCTGTTTTGGTTTTAGTGTGTGGCAGCCTGGCAATCAGCCACCTGCTGCGGGGACCATCCAGCTCACTCTCTGCAGGACGTGCAATGGAGAGAAAGCTGCAAAATTTGGCTACTAAGCAAGTCTGGCAAGCCTGGGTAAGTTCAGTCTTTTCCAAGGTTCAAGACGTGCCCAGATACGTGCGTGTTTCCAAAGGACGAGCAGAAAGTCCAAGAGTGACACCAGCATAGCCTCTGTGCTAAATTTAATGTCCCTGTTTCTGAAATGTGGAGAAGTTAAGACTTTCTAAATGAAAGTTTTGAAAATTCTTTGAATCTAATTGAAGCAGCCTGTGTTCCTCATGATCATTCTTAGCAAGGACTGAGTCGTTTCTGTTGTGTTTTTCCTGAAAATCAGCTGGAGGCCCGCTATAGGTAATCTTACACCAAAGAAAAGTTTCTGGCAAACTTGGAGTAACTGTACATGTGGCCTTAAAATAGGATGTGTTGACTAGCCATAACCTACAAAGTACCTACTTGCTACAGCATTAACTAAAGCTAGAAAATGCTGTAATTTATTTTGTGCCTGCAGTTTTAATTCTGCTCCATTTTTCCTGTGCGCTCACTTGGCAAGAACAGAAAGTTATCATAAATGTTATAGCCAAGTGCATGCACACAAAGAAGAAAAGCTGAGGTTTTGTGAATCACTTGATGTAGAAGTGCTTGGCTGTATGCCTTCAGCACTGCTTTAGTGTGTTTGTTGTGATTTTTGTTAGACTGTCTTTCGTCTCTTACTTCTTTGATATTGAATTTATGTCTTATTATGTACAGCCTTTTCTACTACTTGAGCAGAAGGGCATAAATCTGTCGTTGTGAGCAATACAACAGAGATTTCTAATTACTAAGCTAAAGAAGTAACAGCTATTTTAAGTAACATATTTTCTGCTCTCACAAATGAGGCAGGCATTAGACTGTCAGGAAACTGAAAGTTGGTCCTGCTTCTGAATAGTATATATGAAAGCAGAAGTCTAAGTATTTCTTGCAAGACCTGTAACTGGTCATTACATTCACTTCTGGTTTTGTCTAGATGGTATAGCATAGGTTAATTTTCCCCACTCATTTTGAGTGTTTTTACAGGTCTATACCAAGACTGTACCTTTTCTGCTATGTAGGATAACAGCTGTTGGTACAGTCTGTAAAGCAACCCAGCATAGGTTTTGTTCAATACATTTACACACACACACAAAAATCCGATCTGTCAAGTCATGAATGATAGGAAGATCATGGGTACAGTGTCTCCGGTATAGTGATTGTTTGCAGTGATTTAGTTAAGAAAATCAAACAGGACAAGAATACACTATTTTGAGGAAAATTACTATGTTGCAAACACCGAAGTACTAACAATGAGAAGGCAAGGGAATCCCCTGTTTCTGTTCCCCTGCTAACTAAATCGCTGGATTACACCAAATGTGTAAGTACAAAGTTGTTTACTTTTCTGTAATTCAGGGTAAATATTTGGCACATGCTTGTAAAATTATAAATCTGTTGACCAAATTATATTCCTCTTACAGAAATAAGTAATCAACAGTGTGTTTGTCTTCTCTCCCATTCTTACATGTTGTGACTTCAAGTGGGGAAAATTCAGTAAAGGTAATATCTCCATTTTCTCCAGACCGTGCTTATTTAAAGTTGTTTCTAGTTCACCCTTCAGTAACAAGCAAGCTGAGATGGATTGGCCAGAAGCCCAACTACAGAGCTCAAAGAGAGGTTCGTATGTTCAGACTCAAATCTTGTGTGTGTTCAGCTGTTGCGGAGGATCCACAGGGGACATCACACACAGACCAATGTGATCAAGTGAAGTCCATTTACTACAACGTTTGATACAGTTATATACCTTATGCGCTTGTGCACACGCCTTATACAATACTCTAATTGGTACAATACCCTTTTTCACGCGACACTATCTTATTCTCTATTGGCTGTGCAAGCTTCTTCACGAGGTGTCCAGCAGTTACTTATCTCATTCTTCAGCATCCAGGTGTTGTTTGTCAGGCACTTCTTATCTTCTTTTTTCCCAGTGTACAAGGACACAGAATCCTTGTCTGCTCCAGCACTTTGTAAACTTATGCTTCGTTCCCACCTAACGGCTGGATTGCTCACATGCCTTTGCCCAGCCAAGAAATCCTCAATATTCAGCCTTAAAGGTCATCCCTGATTTCAGTGATGCCAGTGGAGAAACCCTGCTGCACTTTTGTTTGTCCTTGTGCGAAGGTCTAAAAATGTCAAAGAAGAAAAGCAAAGCAACTACTTAGAAAAGTTTAAGACTTCAGTATAGAAACTAACCACAGGTTATTCGTGACTTCTAAGTGAGACTGCATTATTTCATCAGCTCCTGCTTGTATGTGAACTTGGTTCTCTGTCACTATTCCTTTAGCTTAGGTGGTTTTGTTTTTCAGCTACTTATTAAGAAGAGCTTTGGTGGAGAAACATGGGATGATCTTGTATTTGTTAAGTAATGGCTGCCACTAACACTAACACTAACACGACTTCTTATCTGAAATAATTGGGCAGAGGATGAACCAGGATGCTCGTCAAAAGGTCCTTATTTGTATTAAGTTTTGCTACTACTGTGCACTTTTTTCAAGGCTTTCCCTGACACAGTGTCAAATTCTTTTTCAACACTGAATAGTTCTTTATGACATTTCTGAGAAGTTTTTGAAAATATCTGCTTTAACAGCTGAGGGTTCTAAGGCACAGAGATTAACGTTTTATGAAGGGTCAGACAGAAATTTTGTGGCTAATACCAGATACTGAAGCCAAATTGCCTGAATGTGTGAGATGATTGTATTGTTTGACCCTTTTTCTTCAGAGTTATGCTATCCATGCTTGCAGTGGGGATTCCCAGTACAGAATAGTTACTGTATCCAGCTAAGGACTGTTGTAACTATCTCCAGAGACTATAACTGAAACCAGCTGCTGATTTTTAAGCCACTATGTATGTGATAGCCCACTATTCTTTCCTGTAGCTTTTTTATAAGCTTGTAAAAAACAACTTTTCCTTTCAGACCTTGATTACCTTCTTAAGCAGAAAAAAATAATCACAAATTTGTTTCTTGCTTATTTTTGGTTCTCCACAAAAATGTCTTGCTAAGAATTTTAGCACAACGTGCAGTGCCGTAGGACTGTCAGATCCAAGTTAACATCTTACTAAGTGCTGATGGGTAAGTTCTTATATCTTACCATTGTGGGGGTGGGTGAGATTGGTAAGGAGAAATGCAAATAATTCCTGATAGTAGAATTGTATTTAAAAAAAAAAAAAGGTGACATAGTTTCTAAGGAGTTACTACTAGTCTCTACAGAAAATGAATGGATGTTAAGTGTATGTCCTAAAAAAACCCCAACCAACCAAACAAACAAAAAATGAAAAAAGCAAAAATACTGGAGTTCTAACTGTCCAAATTGTAGGTGGCTTTTTACATAGTCTTCATCGAGATTCTTGCTTAGACACTTTGCTAGAGATGCCTTCTGCTGCTGCTGAACAGTTGCTGCAGCATCTAACTGGAGTTTCTATGTGAAAGATGAATGTAGCTCTTAAGTGATCGAGTAAATCTTTGCAGAAGTATCATGTCAACTGTCATGAAAAACTAGATATCTTGTGATACCATTTCAGCGTAGGAGGCTCCATGCTTAAGGCCATGCATTAAAGCTACAAAGGCCTTAGGTATCACAAAATAATGTTGAACTGCATGACTTGGAGAGGGTCTGTGGCTAGGTGAAACGTGAATCCCTAAGATATGTGTTAAGTACTGCAAGACTGAGCAGCACAGGACCTTGGTGTTGCCATGGGTTTGCCTCCAACTCACAGCCATGATATCAGACTTTTTTTATTATCATGCATTTTAGGCCCAAAGTTATACCCCTTTAGATTCACTGTCAAAAATTACTCTTGGCTTCAGTAGAAGCCAAATCCTTTTATTTAGGAAAGGGTTGTAGCTACTGAGTTGCATCAATTGAGTTATGAATGTTATGTATGTGAACTGGTATGTTGTATCTTTCTGAATGAATGGTAAAGTTTACAGCAAGTTGCTGGTAGCCATGTTCCTTACAATACTTAAATGAATGTTATGTTTACTGGGCTATGTATTCTTATCACTCAGACAAAATTCCAGTCAACCCAAGTGGAAGCTTTGCCTGTAAGAGAGGTGCGTGATTGGGTTTTTTACTCTTAACTCTACTGTGTTGCTATGAATGTATTATTGCATGCCCCCAAATTTAATAAACATATTCCTGTAATCAGAGCTTATTCAATGCAGTGGAAAAGTACAGCGAGCGTGCTTCCAGGGCCTAAGAATGTGCTATTGCTTAATAAGTTGCTTAAAGCCCCTCAAATAAAAGTGGAAGAAACACTCAGTTGAGGGAAGTTGACATACACTTTCTCCCCAGCTTTAGGAGTGTGCACCTTCCTCAATTTCTTGAGTAAAGCTGTTGATCAGTCTCTGCTGCTTGAGCATATTGTGAGCAAAGATAGAGACACTCTTGTAAAGGGAGCCACAGAGAATTCTGGCTCCCCTCCATCCTACTGAGCCAGAACAGGCATTTATGAAGATACCAAACTTCTGTTCATAAAACACTGCTATGCGCACTGCATTAGAAAGCTCTGGGTTGGAAGACAGCCAGTGTCTTTTGCAAAAGTTGAAAGAATTGTGGGTTAGAGGCTTACAGACAGAAGGATATTGCAAAAGAAAGAGAACTGGACAGGATTGCTAGAGAATAGAGTAGCCATAGTCGCTATTAAGGCGAGAGGAAAAAACCCCACCTTTAGTCTGTTAAGCAGTAGCTACTTTGCTCTTTATTGTTTTCATAAACCATAATCGGGTTTTGTGGTTTGGTTGGGGTTTTTTTATCACTTTAGGAGGTTCTTGCCATCACCTTCATCCCTGGCTGGAGAGTCCTGCTTCATCAGTTGTGGTGAATCAACTGTCTGTATATAGCTAAGGAGCCATGTTAAAGGGAGCAAAAATAACACTACATTTATTTACCCCTGGTTTTTGTTCTTTCAAATTAATTACAGGGATGTTTATAAGGCAGGGTAGTTGACCACACAAATATAGGTCATTCATAATAGATATAGTCTGGGAGAAACTGTAATTGCTATGCTA